TCGGGGGTGGGGTGCCGTAGAGTGTGCGCAAGGAGACAGGAGGTGGCAGCTGTCCCAGGTAAGAGTTGCTGGTGGCTTTCATGAGGAAAGTGACTGTAGGAAATGAAGAGAAGTGGACAGATTCTAGAGGAACGTAAGAGGCTCTCATTTCTTTGTGAACACATAGTAGGGCTCCCTGAAGTGAATGAAGACAAAGATCTGGTCTGGACTCTATGTGGAAATGATAGGGCTCGTAACGTACTTCCTTGCAGAAGAACCATATGACGTGGGTTGCTGATTTCCAGGAGTGTTCTGACTTTGTGGACTTCAGAGCGAGGCGGCATTGCCCACTTTGTAATAGCCCAGTGGAGTCTCCAATTACCTATGAGTAACAACTGCTAATAGTAATAAGCTCTATTAATTAGGGAGGTTGTGTGGGCTCTGGAGACATATGGGACCTCAGGCAAGTCATTTAAACTCACTTTGCCTCAGTTTCCTGATCTGTAAACTGGGGTAATAATAGAGCCTAGTTTTCAGGGCGATTGTAAGAATTAGGTGAAATAACCAACATTTAGTACAATGATTGACATGTGGTAAGTGCCCAGTAAATGTTAGTTACTATTATTATTAAAATAACGGATGACCTGCATCTCATTAAAAGTAAACAAGGTCAAGAAGGACTGTTTAATCATTTTCAAACATGTGAATAGCTTTCTAGAGGGTCATACAGCATTAAGCAACTTACATTAAGACACAGAGCTCTTCAGTGGTAGGGCTGGTTTTTGACACAAATTTGTCTAATACCAGAAGCTGTGGTTTTGACCACTGCACAGTCATCCCCACCTGTCATTTTTAATTCATGATGGATGCATGTGACAAGAGCTGGTTCTGCTACTAGATCAGACTGTAGGCTGAAGAGAAGGCTCTGGGAGGAGTGGTGACCCTTATTCATGCGGTGACTAGAATGGTGATCCTGATGGTTCATCCCATCCCATGTCAATGGTGATGGTTTTAATGACGTAGTGAGCACTGTAAGGTTGATTCCTCAGGTGCAAAGTCATGAAAATAGGGAGCCCCTTCCAGTTCTCCCAAGGGCCTTTCAGAAGCTTGAGATGGCACTATTACAGTACCAAGCTCATAACATACTTTTGTCGTGAAATATTCAATATCACTTGAGGTAGGTAGCATCGAGGCTCTCACTTTACAGATAGGAAACGGAGGATTTAAAGGTTAAATATTTTGCCCACATCAAGAAAGTGATAGAGGCAGGATTTGAACCCTGCTCTGGTTGTCTAGACTGGCCTCACCAAGCTGTGATGCTTGTTTCCATCCATCCTGCCCCGTCCAGCCCATGCTTACTCAAAGTGCCCGAGGCTCTCTCCTGGACTCCTGAAAAGGACCCGGGGTTAGTCATGTGCAGCTACGCATGTTGCTCTGTGGTACCTCTCCAGAGAGTATTTGTATTTAGCTGCCAGGAGTGTGCTGGAAATGGCTTGTACTGGCTCCTGAGACCTGACTGTCAAATTTGCAGGAATTCTGTGAGTCAGTAGACGTCACATCAGTAGTTTGAAACTGGCCACAATGGGAGTATTTACACCAGAGAAAGCGGCAAACCCTTTGAATCAGGGCTCCCCCACATTCTACTGTCATTACTACTACAGTTGCTGTTAAATATTTACCAACACACCACCAGGCCCAAATTTTTCATCATCTCCTGTTAAAAAATGTCAGACATTGGGGACCACATAGCAAAGAATTTGGCAAGCACAGGGAGGCATCTGAAATCATGCCTGCCAGTGGGCCGCCACCTGCCCACTTCATGCTTCTTTCCATCCCACCACTCCAGCAGGACGAAGGAGCACTCTGGCCCTGCAGAAAACATGCACACGGCTCCATAGGGGAAACAGGTGCGAGAACTAACTCCATGTTAAAATGAATGGCTCAGCCAGCATTATAATGACAATAGGCATGGGTATTTAAAGTTAGAGAAAACCATACTTAATTTGCAGAACTACAGAATTTGTCCCTGGATAGGTAGATGGACTGTTTTGCCTAGGATGTCATAAATCTAGAATTTTAGAGCTGCAAGGAACATAATTTTATGAATGAGAAAAGAAAAAAAAGAAGCCGAAACCTGGAGAGGGGCAGCGATCAGCCCAGCATCACACGTCTCATGGTGCGTGTGCGTGTCTCCCCCATGAACTTGTGTTTACCCACAGAATCGAAGGAACCCAGGACCCTGATGTGAAGCTTGACTTTAAAGAATTCTTTGGAGCCCTGACTGGCATAGCTCAGTGGATTGAGCTCAGGCTGCGAACCAAAGCATCGCAGGTTTGATTCCCAGTCAGGGCACATGCCTGGGTTGCAGGCCACGACCCCCAGCAACCACACATTGATGTTTCTCTCTCTCTCTCCCTCCCTTCCATCTCTAAAAAATAAATAAATAAAATCTGAAAAAAAAAAGAATTCTTTGTTGTTTCCCTTCATTTGAAAGTAAATATATTATTCCAACCTGCTGGCTCTGATAGGGACATGGTGATGCCACAAATAGCTAACTTTTAATTACGCACTGACTAGGTGACAGGACTTCTCTAAGGACTTTGTATGTTAACTTAAACTACCTGAAATTGTCAATGTCAGACCTTTCTTATCTACCAAATGGTGATTCCAAATAGTTCAATCTAAATACATCCTCTCTGCTAACCTTTACCATCGTTCCATGAAGTGAATACTGTTATCACACCCATTTTATGGATGGGCAGAACAAGGCTTTAATATAAAAACAAAAAGTTTTGGCCTGGCCAGTAGCTCAGCTGGTTGGAGCATTGTCCTGATATGCCAAGGTTCTGGGTTTGATCCCTGGTCAGGGCACATACAAGAGTCAACCAATGAATGTAGAAATAAGTGGAACAACAAATCAATCTCTCTCTCTCTCCCTCTAAAAGTCAATAAATAAAGACTTAAAAAAATAAAATAATCAACAACAAAAAGTTTCTTCCCACAAGTGTAAGTGCTATTCTTATTTATGGGTGATGCACAACGTACTCTTGTGTACAGATCAATAACCCTAAACAATGGCCCATATATAGAGCATGAATATAAGCCATAGACATTAGAAAACAAGAAATTTGATGATTGTCCATCATACAGCTGCTATATTTCAGGCAGAAATGTTAGAAACCAGAGCTCAGTGCTCCTCAGCATGAATGAATTGCCCTGGAATTTTTCATAATGCTTGAATGAAAAGGCAGAGTGATTTTACAACATTGTCATCTGAGCATTATAACCAAGACAATTCTGAATCAAGACCATCTGATTGTGTGATTTTTTGCAAATAATATTGTCTTGAATTCCCCACTAAACAGTTCACAAATAGCAATGCTGCTCAGAAAAAAATTAACACTAACTCAGCCAGATGATGCTCTGTTGAGTCAGAAAAACACACTGATAAAAACTGTAAAACGGGCGTTAGGAAAATATTTAAAGGCAAATGACTGCTTTTTCACTATCAAGCAAGAACTTCTAATATTCTGTGCACGGTAGGAAATTGACCGATGACATATGCCTTATCAGCTCTATACAATGAATCCTCCAAGTAAAAAACTTGCCTACTGGCTCTTTATTAATTTAATCAACACATATTTACTGAGTACCTACCCCTGCAGCCTTGCACATAAGTTACTCCATATGCTTTCTGATTGATTGTTGATTGTTATTAGTAACCATCTGCTTACAATAAGCATGCATTCTCACCTTTAAAAAGAGGCAGTACTATTTCACCTGACACTCCATCACAGCCCAGCTTAAGTCAGGATTTCATTGCATCGAACACTTGAACACAACCCAAAGTCGTGCCTACACCTAGTAAGTCTGATCCCAACAAGGAATTGGAGCATCTTTGTCTCTGAGTGACCCCCCTAATGTTATTTCCCTTCATTAGAATGTCGGTGAAAACCCATGTCCTACTTCCCTAATGACAGGAAAATAATACGGCGATAAAACAAGAAATCAAACACACTTAAAAAATTGCTGGGAAAGGCTGAACAAGTGCTACTTCACAGAAACAAAGGATTTTTAAAAAGAAAGCAGTGTTTGTAGGTGCTGTTTGCAGTCCTTTCGTTCTATACAGCAAGAGCCTGGCGGAGAAGGGAGAGTCGTCTGCCCGTGCTCACTCTCCTAGAGGGAAGTCAAGTGTGGTCTCCCGACCCCCTGTCCGGTGCTTTTTGTACCGAACTGCATAGTTCTGATCAGTCATGTTACTTTGTTATTATTGGTGTTATGGAATGTAAGGATGGCTTTAGATATAGAAAAAGACTGACTTAGCTAAGCAGCTGTAATCTTCCGGATAAGAACTGCTGGTCCATACTGCATAACACTTTGTGCACGATAACCCTAGTCTCCTGGGAAGTTTTTAAGGGATAAAAAGGTTCGCCATTGTGCCTTGCAAATTTTGGACAAGTAAATGCCCAGAGAATATTTTCCCAAGCTATCAGGTGAGTGATGACCATTGAAACAAGCAGAACTGAATTCATAAAATTGAAGACGCCGAACCCCATCACTTAACCACCCCAAGAACCATTTAATCCAGTATAACACTGAGAAAACGGGGCATGATCATCACTCAGGTCTCAACAACTGCTGATATTTTATTAATCTGTGTCGCATAACATGTAACATAATTCAAATGAAATTTATATTCTATCCAGTCATAACACTTGCCAAATGAAATATCGTGATATAAACATTAAACTCAAACTTGAAGGGGAAAATTGCTCATAACTATTAAATTTACTCTTGTGTAGTTTTTAGAACTGAAGTCACCTAACACAACCACCCCACCTCGTGACTTTTCTCCACGTTCCCTTCAGATTACTCTCATTGTGCTTTTTAGGTTGCTATAGCCACAGTGTCTGTGTCCCCTCCATCCTTACTTTATTCCACGTATTTCCTTCCTGAGTCAGCCCCATCTACACAGAAAATACTGTTTGAAAAAAGGCAAAGACAGCCAAGTTCTTACATACCCCATGACGGTCCTCAAAGTATGCCAGGCTGGTTTTGGTTAAAACGAAGAAGCGGACTTTAAAGTTCGAGGGAGAAGTTCTTCTCTTTTGTTGGGATTTCTTGATGAGCTGTTCTTCCAGGAGGATAAAGTTGTTCATGGTCCAGTTCTTGAAAAGCGATGCGCCTTGAGCATCAGCTCTCAGCACAAGCAGAGGAAACAGCTTTGGAGCAAGGAATGTGATGGGGAGGCAGTTGATCCTGAGAGAGTTGCTCAAAGGCAACTTGCCTCCAACGTTATCTTTCTATCAATGTGCAGTCAACATCGCTGAGCTGCTTCTCTGATGTCAAAGGCCATAACCACATCCTTTCGAAATTCACAACACTAAGAGACACAGGTAAAAAAAAAAAAATACACATGCTCTTGGCTGTATGGTTTGAAAATGATATCTGAAAAACCTTAGACTCAAAATGACATGAAGGACTGGAGTTTAATCTTTATGGTTCCTGGTTTAGCCCATCCAACAGGTAAGGCACGTAGCACCAAGGGTAGGAACATGGGCTCTGTGGCCAATGCGCATAGTCTGTGTATTAGTTTCCTGTTGCTGCTATAACAAATTATCACAAACTCAGTGGCTCACGAATTCATTATTTTTACCATTCTGTAGTTCAGAAGTCCAAAATGGATCTCACTGGTCTGAAATGAAGATGTCAGCAGGGTTGGGGTCCTCCCTGGAAGTTCTCCAGGGTAGAATCTGTTTCCTTGACATTTCCAGCTTCTCTGATTACCCACGTTCCGTGGCTCATGGCCCTCTTTCTCCATCTTCAAAGCCAGCAACAAACAGCAGGTCAAGTCCTCTGGTCTTACACATCCGTAATCCCTTCTTCTGCCGCCCTCTCCTATACACAAGGAATTTGAGATGACCTTGCGACTGCCTGGATCGTCTAAAGTCACCCCACTATTTTAAGGTCAGTTATCAGCGAGCTTAGTTGCATTTTATATCTTAATTCCTCTTTGCTATGTAACCTAACATATGCATAGGTTCCTGGGATCAGGGCATGGGTGCCCGTAGGGGAGCCATTATTCTACCTACCACAGCTCGAAATCTGGCTCCACTACTGAATCAGCTGTGAGGCTGCAGGCACGTTACTCAGGAGCTCCAAGCCCCATTTTTCTCCCCTCTAAAAAGGAACGACAGAGCTCCTCCACCAGGCACGGCAGGGCTGCTTCTCCCAGTCTCACCTCGCACCTTGCTCATGCAGCCTCACTCCAGCCCCCGTGCATGCGCCTTAATGCTGCTTCGGACATCTGTTCTCTTTGCCCAAAAACATCTTTTCTCCCTACTTTGCCTGATTAACTCTAAATTATACTGCAAGTCTCAGCCTACATGTCACTTCCTCAGGGGAGTCTTCCTGACTTTCCTTAAGTCGAATCCACTAATTATACCCAGATGGCACCTTGTATGTTTCTCTTCAACCACTTATGACAGTTGTAATTATATACATTTTGCAGGGTGAATGTTGGGTCAATGCCTGTCTCCCCAGCTAATCTAGAATGTCCATGATGGTCAGGATTATGTGTGGTTTGGCTCACCATTGTATACTCAGCAGCCCTCACAGTGCCTGGCACCTAAAAAGGGTGTTAGGAAGAATGTGTTGAGTGAATCACCGAACAGGGTGGGACAATCAGAAAGGACAAGGAGCATAAAACACCTAAGAGAAATATATTGAAGTGTATTATTTTAAAAAATTTAAATAAAAGCCCATAGGAATCTCTCTACACTACAGGTAGGTAATTGCTTTTCTACCAAAACTCAGTGGAAAATGCAATAAATCCTCCAGAATGGCATACTAAAGAACGCATGTCCAGGCTCTGAACACAGACAAAGGTGTGTTGGTATCCCGGTCTGCCACTTACTAAGCTGTTCATATCTGAGTGAGCTGCCTATCCTCTCTGATCCTCAGCATCCTTGTGAGGGTCCCTTTGAGAGTTGAATCCCATCAACTCTGGGAATGGTGGGTGCTAGGTGTCTTGCTTAGAATTAGTCTATGTTTGAAGTATAGTATGTAAGCCCCAATGCCAGTATGAATAACCAAGAAATCTCAAGGTAAGCAGAGATGGCATATGCTGGGCAGAGATGAATAATGAAACAATTATTATTGCTGTACAGATGTGCAATTATCTAGAATTTAGTTTAAAATGTTAGTGATCAGTGAGCAGATTACAGCTTAATTTTGTTTCATATACTAGTCGCCCCAGCATAATCAAGACATTCAGGATGGTTGGGGAGGGGACACTTTAAATGATTCCTCCTCCCCCATTCTGGGGGTTTAAGATATTCTCAAAAGAAAGAGGTGGCTTTGTTGTTGTTTTGTTTTGTTTTGTGTGTTTTTTTTTCTTCTGAACATAGGTCTGAGACAGTAACTAATCTCCCCTTCTTCTCAGGTAACTGACTCCCAAAAGGTTACCTGGACATCTGACCAGCCAGAATAAAAATGACATTTTTCAGCCATGTAACTATTTTCTAGCTAATGGAACATAGTAGAAGTGATGAGCACGACTTCCAAGAAATGTCCTGAGGGGCAATCATCATACCATTTTTATTTTCTTTTTCCTTCTTCTTGCTGACTACAGTATGGATGTGATGGTTGGAGCTGGAGCAGCTATATTATATCATGAGGTAGAAATTATAAGGTGAGAGCAATGACACATAAGGTAGAAGGAAACTGGGGTCCTGATGACCTTGGATTTTTCATCCCAGCCTGGGAACACTTTTTTTAACATATAGAGAAATAAAATTCTATTTTCTAAGCCCCTGTTATTGTGAGGCTCTGTCATAAGCAACACACCTAATTCCAGCTAATGCAATGCTATATTCCAAACTGGACTGTAAACTCCTTTGAGAAGGGTAGATTTGTACAGGTTTGTTCAGGTTCAAAGATTTACAGACATCACAAAGTATCTTATATGGGAAAGCAAAATATCACCAGTAGGTATTGTGATAGGAACCTATGGTTTGCCAAGTCTTAGTGGAGCATAGCCACCAAGAGTGTAACTCTCTCTCTCAGAGCAGCTTCAAATTCACTCACTGGGATTTGTCTCTGTCCTCACCTAAATGAAACTTAAGGTCCTGATATTTTCCCTGTTACTTTCAGGGAAACATCATAAAGATAAATAATCCTGCTGCTTTGGTTTAAAAAGTTCAATTTACAGGAGCCAAATTCAAGAAGTTCTTACTCATCAAAGGTGAAAGAATTTGGGTATCAAAAAGAACAAGAATGACAATGACATGAATGATAGCCAAAATGTTAAAATCATTACTTCATAAGGTATTTGAAGAAAAATCCCAACCCATCGATCACTTTTGGAAGATGCTAGAGAACCAACCTATTATTCCAAAAACTAGGACACAAGGAAAAGAATAAACTCTATTTCTGTTTTTCCTGAGGAACCCTATCTCAGTTTAGTAATCAAATATTTAATAAGAGAAAGTCCTTTAGAGAAGAATTCCAGTAGATAAATAAAGAAGTGATAGACTATCACCACTTTGCAATGCTGATGATATAATGAACCTGGGCAACTGTCATTAATATCATTATGCAAAAAGCCATTAGGAAAATTTACGATTTCTATATTAGACTGGTAACACTGTAACATAATGATTAATCTTAACATCATACAAAGAGAGACAACTAGACATTCTATTTCCTGATGTGATGAAATAGGAAGCACAGGAAACCACCTACACAGAAGTTTTGCCAAAAAAAAAAAAATCAAATATGAATCTCTTTAAACCTCTAGATCTATATTCAAGTTTGCAGAAAGTACAGGAGATGGAAGAACATGACAAATGCATGGAGATGCAAGTGGGCAAGTCCAAAATTCACAAATGGCCCATGTTTGCAACACATAAATCAGGGGAAGAACCTAAAGATGGAAAGAGACTTTTTAAGAGACATGTCAAGGACGGGATGATTTTGTTTTGATGTAGAGTCAAACAAATTAATTGTCTAAAGGCATTATGAGACAATTAGAAATCAGATCACTGCATATTTGATGATTAGTTAATCATCATCATTCATCAAAATTTAATTATTTCTAAAGGTGTAGTAATAGCACTGTTGTTATGATAAAAGAGTCTTTATTTTGCACAGAAACACACTGAAATAACTATTGATAAGATAATAGAATGTCTGAGATTTGCTTTGTTAGAATCCAGCGAAGAGGGAGAAATAGGTAGGGAAGAGGGAGAAAACTGGCCGTGGGCTAAAAACTGAAGTGAGGGACTTCCAGTCAAGATGGCAGCATGGGCAGACATGGCTCATCTCTTGCAACAACCACATCAAAATTATAACTATCATGTAGAACAACCATCACTCAGAAATGTCATAGAGTTGAATGGAAGTCTAACAGCTATAGAATTAGAGAAACCACATCCATCCACACTGGTAGGAGGGGCGCAGATGTGGAACTGGCTGGTCCCACACTCACATGTGGTGGCTAAAAATTCAGGAGAGATATCTCAGGAGCGAGGAGTCCCAGCCCCACACCAGGCCCCTCAGCTCAGGGTTCCAGTGTGTGGAAGATAAGTCCCCACAACTCCTGGTTGAAAATACCAGCAGGGATTGAGTTGGTGGGAGAAACTGCTGGAGCCCAAAGTAGTTCCTCTTAAAGAACACACACATGGACTCACCAACTCAGACTCACTCCCTTTGAGCTCCAGAACTGGGGTAGCAGCTTGAAAGGCTTCAGTGGCATACTGGGAGAAACTGAAGTGTCTGGCAAGACTTTGTCCCCTATTTAGGGGACCCCCCCAACAGAGCCACACAGCTGGCAAGCAGGTGCCATATCTGAAACTCCATCAACCTGGCTAACAGTCTGACCCACCTTGGAGATCCCCAGAGACTCTGCCCCACCCAACTTACGGGCTCAACCAAGCTGCTTTTCCACATGAATGGCTCATCTTGGCTTATACTGCACAACTTCCTAAATCCTCTCAAACAAGAAACAGTTGGCCTCAGTGAGCCCCAGGCCTGGCACTAGCAGTAGCCAGCCTAGATTCACAGCTTGGCTTCGCCTGGGAATCTCCAAGTCCAGCACAGGTAGCAGCTATCTCACATTGCTTTATAGCTCAAGCAGAGTGACCCTGGACAAAACGCGTGTACAGGCTGACCTTGGCCTGTACTACCAGAGAAACTCCAGGGCCAGCGCACTCAGTGGACAGTTACAGACCATGTCAGAGCACCACCACCCTGCCTCTGCATAGCTGATCCTCCATGGAGGAAGGTTTGT